GCGTTAAAATTATTTAATATTAAGAATAAAATTTTTTACTATAAAGCTTAAGATAAGATTATTTCTTTATAAAGATTTAATATATTTATTTCTTAATTATTTAAGACGTTAAAAAGATTATAAATACTTTAAATAGTAATTTTTTAAGTATACTTACTTCGCTTAAAGAGTTTTTTATCTTATAAAGAAGTTATATATAAGAAAGTTTCGAAAAATAACATCTTAAATTAATTATAACTTAATTATTTTTTATCTAATTAAAATCTTATTAAAACTTTAGATATTATAATATATAAAGTTATAAATAATATTATTAATATATATTTTAAATATAAAAATATAAAATAATATTAGCTATTTCTTTTAATTCGCTAGTTATATAAATAATTTAATATCTTCTTTATCTCTTAACTACTATTTATTAAGATTATTTCGCTATCTTATTTAAACTCTTTAAAATCGATTTATCTATTTAATAGACTTATTTAGAAATATAATAATTTAATTTAATTTCTTATTAAAGTCTTTATTAGCGCGTTTCTTTAATTTTTTTTCTTAATATAAATAAAATAAATAAGTTAATCTTAATTATAGTATTAGAATTAATATAAATATAATATTAATATAGATATATTAAATAAGATAATTAAGATATCGAATTATATAGATAGAAAGAAGATATAATATAATAGAGAATATCTTCGTTAGAATTTATAAAGTTGAATTTAAATCTAAGTGTTAAATAGTATTAGCTTAATTAACTGTTGGGCTTCGTTTATTCTAGTAGTAAGTGAATTTTTCGCAATAACGTTAAAGGCTTTAAGAGGTATAAAGGGGTGTATATCTCTGAGACGTTTAGTAACGTTTAGAGCTACGAGTGAATAGTTTCATATATAATCGAAATTGTATAGAATTTGGTTTATAGATTGGTGGATTAGAATAATAGAATTATATGATTACATAAATAGGTGAAAGGATTATTAACCGATCCCGGACGCGTTTAATATAACTACGATATTTGAATATTAATTTAATCTACTAATAGTAGGCCAAACTTCATTATTTTTATAGCGTTAGAAAGCGCACACTGAGCTCTATAATTTACGAAATTATAAAGAAATAGTATTTATAGAAAGCTGATTATTTTAGAGTATAAGACTTCTATATATAAATTTTTAATAAGAGAGCTTAAAAGGGCTAGCGAGCTAACTTAGTTAGTCTAGTTAAAACGTAATAATCTTAAATTTATAATTAACTATATATATAAATTTAAGATTTTCTAGTTTAATTCTATCTTATTCTATTATATATATTAATATATTATATTAATATAATAGAAATAATAAATTAAGTTATAGTAGTATTCTCCGCTTACTAAGTAATAATTTAACGTAAAATCTTAGAGAGCTAAGCCGTATTCTTAACGCTAAAAGTCTTATTATCGCTTAATTTCTCCGTAGTATTCTACGTAGTATTCTTCGTAATATTCTTTACATTTATCTATTATAATTTCTTCTCTTACTTCTTTTTTTATAAAGTATTAGACTAAGTAACTAGCTAAGTAATTAACTAAGTAAATAACTAATATAACGTAAGATCTTAAAGAGCTAAGCCGTATTCTTAATAATAATAATCTTATTACCGCTTAGTTTCTCCGTAATATTCTTCGTATTTATCTATTATAGTTTCTTCTTTTACTTCTTTTTTTAGAGAGAGTATTAGATTAAGTAATTAGCTAAGTAATTAACTAAGTAAATAACTAATATAACGTAAAATCTTAAAGAGCTAAGCTATATTTTTAACGATAATAGTTTTATTACCGCTTAATTTCTCCGTAATATTCTTCGCATTTATCTTCTATAATTTCTTCTCTTACTTCTTCTCTTATAGAGAGAGTATTAGATTAAGTAACTAGCTAAATAGCTAATTAAGTAAATAAGTAAATAATAAGTTAATAATTTAACTAAGTAAATTATTAAGCTAATATAATAAATAATATTAATTAAGCGACTAGTCGAGTATCGCTAGCTTAAAAGAAGTATATAAGAGAGAACGATAGCTATAAATCCGTTCGAGCTCTTTTTAAAAGCTTTTTAACGCGTTTATAAATAGTAGTAAGTAGCTATTAAGCTCGCTTACGGCCTCGATTATTAATAATAGCGAATTCGCGTTCATAGAGGCTCTAAGAGACGGGTAAAAGAGATATATATATTTAAAGCGTTTAATAACGTTTCCGCGAGAGATATTAAAAACGATTATATTTATATTAATGAAATTAATAGAATTAATAGAATAGTAAAAGAATAATAATTATATAAATAAATAGATGAAAGAATTATTATTTAATCTCGAACGCGTTTAATATAACTATTATATTTAAATATTTATTTAATTTATTAATAGTAGATTAAACTTCGAAATTTTTATATCGTTAGAAAGCGTAAACTAAGCTTTATAATTTACGAAATTATAAAGTAATAATATTTATAGAGAGCTAGTTATTTTAGAGTATAAAACTTCTATATATAAATTTTTAATAAGAGAACTCGAGAGAATTAGCGGGCTAACTTAGCTAGTTTAACTAAAGAGCGTAATAACTCTAAATTTATAATTAACTATATATATAAATTTAAGATTTTCTAGCTTAGCTCTATCTTATTCTATTATATATATTAATAGAATAAGATAGAGCTAAATTAGAAAATCTTAAATTTATATATATAGCTAATTATTAATTTATTAGGTCTACGCTTTTTAATTAGATATCGCGGGTAAATAAATTAGCGTTCGTAACTATTAAAAATCTCTTCCCTTACTTTTAACCTTTTAATAACTTTACTATTTTCTATTAAAATTTTGAGATTTTTTTTTTAAATTATAGCCCGAAACTTACGCTTTTTAATAATGAAAAAATTTCGAAATTCGGTCTTATAATTATTAAAGCGTAAGGAATTCAAATATCGCTTATTAAAGTTCGCTCGACAGCCCTAATCAAAAAACAGATGTATATTATTTAATTTTAGAATAACTTTTTTATTTTCTATTAAAATTTTAAAATTTTTTATTTAAATTATAGAACGTAATATGAGCTTTCAGATAAAAAAAGAATTACTAAATTTAGTCTTATAGATATTTAAAGGCAAGGAATTCAGATATCGCTCACTAAAGATCGCTTATCAAAGATCGCTTATTAAATTTACTCGACAGCCCTAATCAAAAAAAATGGTTATGAATTTAATTCATAGGCCTTTACTCGTAATATTATAAAATTATAAAATAATTAAAATAAGAAGATTCTTTAAAAGAATTTTAGAGTAGATACGTTAAATCTTATAATAAATCTTTATTTATAGATGATACTTATAATATTCTTATTACATAACTAGCCTATATAGATCATTACGAAAAACCCTCTGCCGACCTTAATATACGGCTTGCTACTGTATATTGACTGGTATAATCGTCCAAACTAAAACAAAAATCCCCGATCCTCAAAATTCTTCTCTTGCTTCCTTAGACTTAGCTCATTCGCAACTCAAAGACTGCCGCGCGATGTCGACGTCTCTTCCAGTGCGTAGCCACCCAGCGTCCGCGGAGAGCTCTTACTCTCGCGGAGAAGTCATTGCTGCCATCCAAGACTTCTACGAATTGTTGATCAAGCTACCCTACGTAGAGCCAAACGCTCTCGTCTTGCCACCTTCGGAAGGCTGGTCAGGCGTGAACGCGCAGAAGCTACGAGATAGAGGGAAGACAGAAGAAGTGATTGAACTACTTCGGTATTTACCTTATCTGCGCGCCCCAGCGCCTGGGAAGAGATGGATGATTGGGCCCGACACTATCATGATCGCCTATTGCGACGGCGAGGTTTACGATGAAATCAATGATTCTCTTCAGCCGGTTCCGGGCCATTGTATTTGGCTCACGGATTACGAATCCCGGGACGGTACCAGTCTTCTGTTCGATACTCATACAGGTGCGTACATGTCGCTTGCAACAAGTTGCCTGTTCACGGATCCCAGTAATTGCCTAGCACTAGATCGGCTAGTTGATAATCTACATAGATACTATCACCGAATGGACGAGTTTGGGACATCATATTATGATTGATTACGAAGAATATGAGAATATTCCCACGCAGGACAAGTGGATGGCGCACCCGACCATGCCCGCGGCCGCTTTCTTCCGCCTCTGGAAGCAAAATTTCGAGAAGCTGGTCTGGATGGCCTTCTACAATCCCCGGGGGTCGGCAGGTACTGCGCAATGGTGTATTTCCTCTGCGACGCTTCAGGAAGAAGAAGAAGATAGGCTGGCATCAGATGATGACTTTGAGCCAGATGCAGATGAGCAAGGAGACGACGAGGAGGGTGGAAGCGAACCGGACGGTGAAGATGACATGGATGATGAGGACGGACTGATCCCAGATGAGGAGTTGGACGAGTTAATGGAGGATGCCTACGGCGAAGAAGCTCCCCAGAGGCGGATAGACCTGCAGTCCGAGAAGAACACTGCTGAGTACAAGCCGGTGGATCTTCCGCCTCCAGAGCTTGCAGAGCCCGCAGATCAACGCCTGCTTCACATCATGATCAGAGAGCGGAAGACCAAAGTGAGCCCCTCGCTTAGTGACGAAACGTGGCAATGTCGCAAATGAGGATGAGCACAAATGAGCTAACGTGGGTTTCGGGATCTAGGAAGTCTACGAAATTTACACACGGAATGGTTGGCCTTCGAATTTTGACCGGGAGAACTGCAAAGTTATGCTCGCCGATTTCTGTGAACGCGAAGAAGGTCCAATAAACCGGTTGCGTTAGAAGTTGTCAGACCATGATAACACAGCGACACGCCAGAAGATGATCGAAAAGCATCAAGAGAAGCTGCATTGTATTCGAAATCGGAGCTATTTCTGGTCATGACGGTCTTGAAAGCACTGGTGCTACTCTCTACTTAACCAGAGTAGCTGAATGACTGGATACAAATTTTCCTGCACGTGAAAACAATGTAATTCAATCAATCCCTACCGTAGGCCTCGGAATTAAATCAAGAGCTAGTTGCGCACCACCGCCGCCAACTTTCGGTGCCATCGGTGTCGCCGCAGGTGGCAAACCAGTATCCACCGCCGTCGGCTCCGCTTCACTCGCCCTTGGCATTAAGGGACCTTTCGGCGGGGCACCGTATACTGACGAACCCTTCATTTCCTTCAGCTCGTCGACGCAATTCGTACTGCGACACTTGCGTATGCCCAGCTCGGCCAGGGACTCCGTTAGCTCATATTTAGTGTCTCTTTCGTCAAAGCTCAAGTCCATGTCCAGAGGATCGATGAACCGCTTCTGATATCCTGCTCGGGGAGGCTTGTTCTGGATAACGGCGAGGGGAGGCGGATTCGAGTATTGATCGACTGACTGGTGTCGCTGGCGGTTACTCAGGGCGGCGTACCAAGGGTCACTATTCAGTAAAGCGAATCCTGGATCATCGACGAGCGTTGAAGGCCAGCATGGATTCGCCGTGATGCCGAAGTCCGGCTGGTGCGGATACGCATCAAATCGAATTGATACTGTAGCAAGAGTAGTAGTCACGTCCGCAGTATAGACGGACGTGTCTCGGTCAGGACCGTGGATCATTCGGTCGAATCGAACATTTCTGGTTGACGCAGGTGGTTTACCGTCTCCGCTGTAGCGGCAGAGCCCCAATCCAAATAATGCCGCACCTGCAGCCTGGTTCTGGGTTCCCGGTACCATCCTTACATACTGGTCGTGGAGATCTTGATCTTGCCAGAAGCCTATGGGAGGATATTCATCTCTCTCGCAGTTCAAGTTTGGTTCTTGCATGTAGCCATTCCACCTGATTATGAGTTAACAAAGAAGGAGATCTTTTGATAGGCATGCAAGAACGCAAGATGGGAGTGCATAGGTATCAAGCCATCAAGGAATCGCGATGACTAGTATCAGCTCAATGAAGCAATAGACACTTACCAGTCATTATTGTGTTGATCAGTCCAATCAACCGTAATCTGCTCGCCTCTTCCTCCTTGACGATAGTTGAATCCAGAGAATGTCGGACAAGTAAGAGGGTTGTATCCACGCTCACCTGCGTCAACGAGAATTTGGTTAAAATCAATTACAGATGAGTAATGCTGGCAAGCCTGTGGCCATCGTGCTCCGTCGCAAACTCTTTGCACACCTGGATCTGGATTCACGTTCGAGTCAGAGACAATTTCGCCTACTCAGCAGAATAACATACGCTCAGTGTTGATGGGTTGCTTGGCTTCCGTGCTTGATATCGCTCGCTTGCAGTTCGGCGCGCGCTTATTACATGCTGAACTTGTTGGTTCAGGATCGTGGCTTGAGGTGGGCGGACGTGTCTCTGGAAGCTTGCTGGGCTCATCTGAATATTCACAGCTATGATCAGGATTTGCATTCCCGAAGAACTGACAGATCTCACCCGGTGAGAGACTGTGCTCCTTGCCGAAAACCTTGAATTCGGCTTTTCCCTCCTTCTCGATGCCTTTGACACACCCTTCGATAAGCGCGGGCGTCGCTGCGAGCTCGGCAAGATCGAGGATCTCCCCTAGTATCTTCAGTATGGCTAGAGATTGTGTAATGTACGACTCAGTGATAAAAACTTACCGAAAATGGGGATCAGGTCTTCCGCAAGTTCCAGTGGTGCGAGAAGGGCCGGGACGGCCACACGGCAGAAAGCCTTCGCCGCCAAGTCTAGAGCCGCCTGTTGAGCGGCGGCTTCTGCAGCATCTTTGGCAGCATCTGCCGCATCTTTTTCAAGCTGACTCTTAGAAGGTGGCGGTGAGAAGCCGGCGCAGCAGTAGGACTGGAGACCACCATTGCAGGTTTGGCCCTAGATGGAAATAGTCAACACAACCTTCGCAATACCTCCGACTACGATCATAACCCTCTGTGCTGCTTACTTTCTTCCCGTTTTGTACGCTTGTGTCAGTCACAACTTCAGTTTCACCTACTTTAACTTTAGTAGTTTACTCCTCCCAAGTCAACTCTGTCTCGACCCTACCATCAGCGCAACCCTGAATACACGACATGCCGACACCGCGGTATCCTCGCCACTGACACTTGCCCATGGTTGTGCCGTCATTGCAGCAAACACTCCGGTACTGGTTTTTCGAGCATCGGTCCCTGGTTACGGACATTAGACTTTTGTTTCTACAACCCATGAGTCAGGACGCTATACCTCGTGGAAATTTGTCCAGGCTGACCAAAGACTTCAGCGACCTTATTTGTTCCTGATTTACACTTGGCATTGCAATCTGTGGTGTAGCAGCTTAAAGATGCGGCTTGATCACTGGACATCTGCTGTGCGTTTGCCTGCTGATCTGGGGTGACGTTGGGAGTAGAACCAAGCCCATTGGACTGGGTCTGATCCTTCTGATCCATAGCCCATACCATGAGGCCACCTAGACAGCGTTGACTAGCGAAGTTCTATTGGCAATTGGCATCAGTGACTTTACACAGCCCCGCGAGGGTTTTCGAGAAGTTTCTGGCTCACCTTCTTCTGCTGAAAAGTATCTGTGTCATCGTATGAAATCCACTGGTTACTATCCCAAGTGATCCACTTCACCCCAGCTGTATGATCCCATGTCGGTGTCAGGCTGTTCTGCGTAATGATATTCTGGATCTCTTGGTCGTCGAGTATCCCAGAGGTGCCCGAGCAAGGCCCAGGATTTGCGCCTCCAGAGAACTGGCAGACGTCGTTGGGAGTACTACATGATGGATCTGATAATGTGAAGGATCGGTCAGCTATCAACCTGACGTCAGCATAGCGTTTTATTTTGTTGTCACGTACCCACGCCATTCCAAGAGTAACTTTGTCTGCCTGAACACCAGCCCGCCAGAGAAGGTCCAATCCCAGGTCAATCTCGGTAAGATTGGTGTGAGGGGCGATGTACGGGCCAACAAACTGCGACTGGGCGTCCCATACTCCATGAAGATCCTATGGCCATTTAGCATCGAAGTGTGCATTTTCGGTGTGAATTAACTCACATATGACATGAAATTGAACCAATCAACAGACTCCTGGAGCGAATTTACGTCGAAGTGCTGGAGATACCAAAAGCTAGTTGGAAGCGTCATGGACAGTCCCTTCTGGCCCAAAGCAGCTTTGAGCTCCTTGGCGAGTGCAACATAATTCTCGGTATCGGCTGGCTGACCACCACGATCATCTGCTTGGGGATACTCCCAATCGAGATCCACGCCTATGAAAGTGAGTGGACGAGCATAGAAGATTACTGGGTTTCCTACCGTCAAAACCGTACTGGTTCATGAACTTAAGAAGACCGTTGATGAATGTCTGCCTATTTGCGGAGGTTGAAGACATTGTGCTGAACGCCTCCTGAGTTGGGCCAGGATCTGTGAAAGACCACCCACCGATGGAAATCCAAGTCTCAAGTCCGTTGTATTTCTCTTTCAGGGCGGTGAAACGGCCTAATAGGGACGCAGAATTTGAGTCCATGGGCGCAATTTGGAAGCTGCTGGGATCGAAAAAAGCAAAGGCGAAATTGATGTGAGTGAACCCAGAGAGATTGAGCTCCTCAGGGGTGACCTAGAGTCATGTAAGCAGCGTGGGAAGCGATTCCAAAACATAGCTCGTACCGATTGGCATGTCCGAGTGGCAGCCCAAGACTCGTAGTAGCTTCAGAGCTTGGTCAGCTACCTATTCTTTTCTATCTTCGTCCAAACTCACCCAATTGTGCGCTGACCCACTTTGGAGCCGCCGCAAGACGGTTGAGGGGGAGGACCGCATCCACCAAAATCCTTTTGACAGCCGGTGTCACAAAAGTCAGAGGTACTTCCGCAGAAGCTGCAGGCAAAGCAATTAGCCACAGAGAGTTTATGTTGGAAGGGAAATTGACCCAAATTGCGAACAGCACACGTTCAGAGGACAGTGTTGCTGGCCAGGAGTCCCATATTGTCCACATTCAGCTTTTGCGTTGCAATTCGACCTGCATCCAGTACCACACTCCGTTGGAGAATAGCCACACAGACCGTTTGAACCACAACACGCCCCATTCTCACAAGGAGTATCTGGGTTACAAGTTCCCACAGGTAGGGCTCTTAGCTTCAATTGATTCACAAAAGAACGGTTGGGATCATATTGCGGTAATGCAAGGGATCCCAAAGCCCAAGATAAGACCACAACGTGCCACAAGCGCGACATTGTCATTTTTTTTGAAAACGAGAGAAAAAAATATATCGCGACTAAAGATAGACGAATGGGACGACAGATAAGTCTTGCTCGAGACCAGAAACCTCAAAACCAGAAGATGGAGGAGAATAGAAGCCCAAAAGCTTTAAGAGCAAGAGAAAGATGCTATGCAACCAGACGCTGACAGCGTGCGGACGTGGGTACATAAGTAAGTAAGCGAGTAGTTTCGGTGAGTTCTGCGCCTCACGGCGGGCTGATGGGACATCCTGGACAGATCAGATGTACCGGAATAGCTCGAGGATGCAGTAAAGGAATTGCCTGAACTGCAGGTGGCCGACGTTGGTGAACTGGAGGATACTTACATGGAAATTTCCGCATCCCCCCAGTACCTGAATGTGCCTGTAGGTCATATTGCAGGAATCTCAGCTGAGGGTACAGCCGTGCTTTGCTCCTCTGAAACAGTACTGCAGAAAGGGCATCCGACTGCCAGAATAGTCTAGGGCTGCGGGTGGCGGGGAGGTGAAAAAAGATTTAAGCTCGAGGGAATCAGCATGCTGTAGGATGTACTCGTATATACCCGGAAGTGCCCGATACCTGGTAATGCCCGATCTTAAACCCGATAAGTCCGGCGTAGCATCACAATGTTTATCTTTTACTAAAATTCTATAATAACTCGATATAATAATGAATAAATAATAATATTAAACTTTTATTACTAGTAATATTAATATAGCTAAGAATCTAATCTATCTTTTTTTAACTTTATCGAGTTATTGATTTATAAAAAAATCGTTAACATCTCTTCTTCTACTACGTCTTCTTTTTCTATCTCTTCTTTTATTATATCTTTTTAATTACTTTCTTTTAAAATCTTTAAATTTAAAACTATTAAGTATATTTCTCTTATTAATATATTTATAAAGACTTTTCGAAGTTATATTATAATATTTATAGATCTTATTATTATTATTAATAATTTTAATCGCTATCGATTATCTAATATACTATTTTAAGATTTAATACTTACGATTAACTTTAACTTTAAAGTATTTAAGTTAATTATATTATATAATTATAAAAGCTCTTTTCTATTTAAATATTAATATTAAATAACTATATTTTAATAAAATATATATTTAATTATTATTCTTTTATTTCTTTACTAAATTTCTTTAAACTAAAATTTCTATACTCGCGTATATAGTTACTTACTTATCTATATTCTTACTTACTTACTTACTTACTCTTTATCTTAAATTATTTTTTTAGAGTATTAAAATAAAAGTTTAATTAAGATTATATTATTAATAATAATCGCGTTAAGATATAGTAAATATAAATAGAATTTAAATATTAGATTATAAATAATTTAAAGAAACTAGTATTTTATTATATAGAAATTTATAAATATCTATTTTTATAATTTTTAAATAATAAGAGAAATTAAATTTATTTACTAGCGAAGCTAATAACTAGTTATAAATAAGTAAACTATTTTTTAAAATATTTTTTATAATATTTTACTATATTATAAAGTCTCGATAAAAATATAATATCTTATTTAAATAGATATATAGCAAAATCAAAAACAATGTCATATTTTGGTGTTGCGCCGGACTTATCGGATTTTAGATCGGGCATTACCAGGTATCGGGCACTTCCGGGTATATACGAGGAGCCCTAACCCTGAATGCCGTACTGAGGCAGCCTGTTACCTTAGGCTCTAATAGGTCCGAGTTGCGAAACAGGCATCACTGCATCAGCAACTTTTATGGAATTTATTTTGGCTGGCAATAGGTGTACACCCGCTTTCCATGTACACCCCCTCATATCCGAGTGCTGCTTGGCTACGTCTTCTCTAATAGTCAGCCCGGCTTCCTTTCAACGCCCGGACAGTCTTCAACGCCTTATATCTTACTATCTACAGAGTACGTCACTCGTAAACAGAATCCTCCCTTTCTTTAGAGGATTTATCCTGTATATACTCGCTGCTACACTTTTTCGGTGCGCTGAATCTCAAATATAATAGCCCTCCGAGGGCCAACAATAAAGTTGTTGTTTGTGTAGGCAGGGGGTGTACATGTATCGAAAGGGGGGTGTACACCTATTGCCAGCCTTTATTTTTCTTTTATGATATGCATGAGGCTGATTGCGAATAGGCGCGCAGGGTGAAGATTAAATGTTGCAGTTCAAATAGACTGCGTTCCGAAGGCGATTCTGTAAGCAAGAAAGAGTCTAGAATCTTAGAGACAATCCCTTGTAATCGTACTTTAAAAACAACCTGAAACCAGTCTGCTGATATTTCTTTTCACCGCCGCACGGAGTATCTTTTTTCCTTTCCAGCTTTACTAATATCTTACCAGCATTGATCCTGCGGGATATTTTAATCTCTTTTACATCCTTTGCACCATCATATGTCTCTCATCAACGTCAGCAGGGATCCTTCTCTCGTGCGGCATGGAGTGTTCCTCTTCAGCTTCTTGGCTGGCTATGTTACAAGCAAATATTGGGGGCAAGCCGTTGTTGTCTGTGAACCTATCCCACCGCCGGTATCAAGTACGGATCATGACTCATTGCCCAGATGCTCTTCCCCCTTGATCTCATAGCCTTAAATATACTTTCCTTTGCTATTGCTTCATTTTCTAGTCTTCGCTCTCGTTTTGCACAATGTCTTCGAACTCAATCCCTGGAAGTCCAGATAGAATGGGAGCTCTCATCTTGGCTTTGGCCACGTGGGGTGCTATGATCTTGCCTGCCTACTCTCAATTCAACATGTGGCCGTCGGTAGACTCTATCCGACTGGCATCCGCTATGGATTTCTCGGTGGATTGTTTGAATGCAATGTAGGCATATCTAATCGTCAGATCGGTAAAGACGACTAAAGCTTCTTCTAGGAACACTACCGTGACTTGCGAACCCGATCTCTTCCGCATGGCTGGCCAAGTCGATCTTTACTATTGGGTGCAAGATAACATCACTGATCTCTGTACGCCGTCTTGTATTCAATCAAGCAGTGATTGGCTGGAAGGTATATACAACACTTGTGACGGTCAAACTATCACGATTGACAGCAAGATGGTGCCGGTCGCATCTGTGGCCATTCGTTACTCTGATGGCGTTGGCCTCACTTGTCTTACAGATGTGTATGAATCTGTCTCCAGATCTCGAGTTTGACTAATCCAAGTCCAGTCAATTGCCTATTACGTTGTCTTACAACCAAACTTCGGGATCGGATCCAAATACAACCGCATCGCCCATTTCAGTGAATGGAACATCAACAGCTCCGGGAAACGACAGTTCCATCCCTGGGAACGGTACTACCGTTGAGCTCAACAACTCGACATTCAACTATTGCTTTTTGGACGCTCAGAACTGGGTGGGCATTGATATTACAGCACCTGATTGCACTTTGGACTCTAGCCAAACTCTCTGCACTGATCCTGATGCGGCGAATCGTATCGTGAGTTTCAAGTCTCACTCTATTGCTACTCGAGCTCATCTTAACTATTACCCCCAAGGCAAATCTATACAACGATACAGTTGTGAGTCTTGCAACCTGTGAATGCTATGTAATGGCTCACGATGTCCTAGCTTTGCAGCAACTGCTTCCTAAGTGTCATGTGGTGGCGCATTAACTCTCCATTTCTACCGGACACTGACGAATCCGACTATCTTATTGAGCAATACCAAGATATTACTGATGTTTGCAATGTCACGATGCCACCATCGCTCATTCGCGCTCTTCCTTCCTATCCCGCTGCCCCGAGCCCACCCTACCTTACCCCAGGTACGGATCCAAACGCTAACTTGACAGCCTCAATTAGTGGGACTTGCGGTGGTCAGACCATCTCAAGAAGTAACAGCAAACGTGACGGCATGGAGGTAGCCGAGCGCGACTCTGAGCTTCTTGAACTTGAGAACGACTACAGTGGTTATGCAAGAGTCAAACGTGCTTCTGCCGGGTCTTGCGATTCCCTTTCACAGTCTTATGGTGTGACTACGGGTGATCTCCAGTCAATAACTGGTAACGACGACTGTTCTTTCAGTGCATCATCAATTTGCGTACCACTCAAGTGCGAGGTCGCACAAGTCGGCAATGACCAGTCCTGGTAAGGGCCAAGATCATTCAAAACTTTGCGCAACTGGTGATACTGATTCGGATAGTGCTTCCATTGCAAGCTCGTTGTCTACCAGCAGCATCAACGTCACGATTACTCTCTTCCTCCAATGGAACCCTAATATAATTGGACTCTGCGACAATTTGACGACAGACCAATATATTTGCAGCGGGTAAGGGAGTCAATCGCCTCCTATCAAGCCCTTTCTCTCGCACTAACATTTGAGACAGACCACTAGGAGGCGGATATACTTTGCCGGCGCCAATTAGTGGTATTAATAGCAATGCCGGTGCACAGCAACGAGGAGGCCAAGGAAGTGGTACCAATCCCAATGGTCCTGATGGTCCTGATGGTCCCACACCCAACAGCACGACGAGTGCCCCGACACAACTAGGCATTGCAAAAAATTGCAATGCATATGCTTACGCCGACACCAATAGCACCTGCTATGACATGTCACAAAGCTTCCGTATCACGCTTGCACAATTGACGACCTGGAATCCGGTCCTCGGATACCCCGATGGGCACAATTGCACCACACAATTCTGGGCTGGCTACGACTACTGTGTCGGCTTACCAGGGAACTCAATCAGCTCTTCTAGTACCAGCACTAAGTCATCTTTGACTACCTCGAGCCTTCCATATCCCACCAAGAGCGATATAACTCCTGCTTGTGACAAATATGGGGCTAATTACTAATTCATACCCCGAAACTATGCATCCTTACCGAATCATACCCCTAATTACTAAATCATACCCCTAGGGGTATGATTCAGTAATTTGCCATTACTTGGGGTATGATTCGGTAATTTGCCATTCATGATAAAAATCGCAAAGGAGAAAATTCGCGACCTGGGCCATCCGACCATAGAAAAGAGGAAATATCTCCGATCGTATTTAATGGGTGACCTACCAGCTTAAATACATCAGACGAAAGTCGAGTGGGTGTTAGCAGCAGCCCCCACGGGGGCCTTGCGACGGCCCTACGGGGGCCCTATTTAGGTCCAAATAGGGGTGTCTGGCTGTCAAGCGCAAAAAAAGCCTAATCCCGGGGGTGTCTGCGCTTGACAGCCAGACACCCCTATTTAAACCTAAATAGGGCCCCCGTAGGGCCGTCGCAGGGCCCCCGTGGGGGCTGCTGCGAATAGTGGGCTAAATTTGGCCCCCCAGCCTGTCTACACCCAGTCTGTGACTCTCACACATAGTCTTCACTTTGGTAAATTACCGAATCATACCCCAAGCAATTAATCCTTACCGAATCATACCCCAAATTTTGGTGTAGGGGTATGATT